TTTTCTTTGTTTGGTTACCGATTAATTTATGTGGTGAGAGTTTAGTTTTTGCTTTTCTGCCTATGTATATATGATTTGAAATGGACAGTTCAATTTTCTATATATAAATTTGTACTCGAAGAGTTCGAAGGAGAGGTGAATTACAAACAATGGGGGGAAGAGTGATGGAGTTGAGGAGTTGAGAGTTAATGAGGTATACTTGAATTTCTGTATGATGTCCTTGGTATTGGGAGATCATTGAGACTAACTATCTGGTTGATTAATCACAATATCCTTGGTATTGGAAGATCATTGAGACTAACTATTTGGTTGATTAATCACTAATTTGAACTATTTGTGCTTAGAAAATTAGCTACTTAAACAAGTACTGAACACTTTCTATGTTTTTTTATTAACTGCTGAAATAGGTGCTTGCCCTGCAGGACACATATTTTGCCTTCTTAACTACAAGGGCAAAATATGTGTGAACTGCATGTTGCTTATGTTTCTTATGTTTCTTATGGAAACAAAACTTTTTTGGCAACCATGTCTTTGTGATCAAGAACGTTCAGTTTCTTCCTACTAATTGTGCAATGTCTTTACATGTCAACTTAGTAGAATGTATATAAAAGTCAAACTACTTATCTTATCGACCTTATTCACTCATGTGTTCCTCTGTTCATTCATGATTGTGTTGAATTTTTTCAGGTTAAATGTGTTTTATTCATGCAGTTACGCCTGAAACAGTGATTCCCACTGCAACGCGTGGGCTTATTTTCTAGTCAGGGCTAAAATAAGCATTTAATGCTCTGGGCTTTAACCATTCAATGGACATCACCGAAGCCTACTTCGGGCCCAAAAAGACCCAAATTCTGGTCAGTGGCAGAGATGTAAATCTCCCCAACTCACCCTTTTATTTAGACTTGGCATTCGTGTCGTGTTTTCCGTGTTCGTGTCATTTTCGTGTCATACCCAATATCTTAACGGGTCGTGTCGTGTAACACCCGTTAAAATAAACGGGTAAAATGACCCTACCCGAAATCGACCCAATAATATTAACAGGGAATATGACCCGATCCGTTACCCGTTAAGAAAAATATATTTTAAACCAATAAATAATCAAATGAAAAACATAATACTAAATAAGTATATACATTCCATATTATCATATTCAAAACATAAAAACGCAATTTTGTTTTAAGTATATTTTCGCTTACCTAAAGTCTTTAATAGTTTTTTAATTAATGTAGAAGTGTAAAAAAATATAGAAAAAAATATATAAACACTCGTAATGACAAGCTTTATAACTTTCATGAAGAGCTTAACTTCGAAATTCTCCACTATAATCATATAAATCATAGATCAAAATTTAACCGTTGATTGTTGTTTACATTTATGCTTCATTGTTCTCATCAAATTTCGTTTTTTTAGATTTTCTTTTTTGAAAACATGATCTATTAGAGGGTGCAGGTAGATAAACGGTTTGGATTGTTGATATTATATTTAGAGTTTTACGGTTAGTGAAAATATTGCTTGATGTTTATAAAGTTTCTACAAATTATATGACATTGACTCATATTTCAGTTAACCGTAAATATCGAAACGTGATATCATCTTCTTACATCTGCCAGATGATCATGTTTTCAAAAAATAAAATTTTAAAAATGAAATTTAGTAAGAAGAATAAAGCGTAAATGACAATCGACGGTTAAATAAATTTAAGGTTTCACTACTACAAAATTATCTATTGCTGGCGATCCAAAAACTTTTTTCAATGATCCAACCATCAAACTTATTTGTATACATTCCAAGATTGCATACGTAAAAAATCGTAAAAAACAAACATTCAGAGATCACGTAACGGAACAAAAGTTTTCGACGGTTATAAACGAAAAATCATAATTTAACGGTTATTTTAGCTTCGATTTTGATGATTTTTTACAAATACACTTCTCGACCCTATAAGAATGTAATGAATAAATTTGATCTTTAATTTAAAGTATTTACACTAGTGGATACCACAAAAACTTATTTTATACTTAATAGAAGTATAATATTAACTCTAAGTGTTTGTTTAATATACTGTTTTGACGCAATATGCATTCTACAAAACTTTTTTCAACGATCCAACCGTCAAACTTATTTGTACACATTCTGAGATCGCATACGTAAAAAATCGTAAAAACAAACATTCAGAGATTACGTAATGGAACAAAAGTTTTCGACAGTTATAAACGAAAAATCACAATTTAACGGTTATTTTATCTCCAATTTTGATGATTTTTTACAGATAGACTCATCGACCTATAAGAATGTAATGAATAAATTTGATCTTTAATTTAAATTATTTACACTTACTTAATAGAAGTATAATATTAACTCTAAGTGTTTGTTTAATCAACTGTTTTGATGCAATATGCATTCTACAAAACTTTTTTTCAAAAATCCAACCGTTAAACTTATTTGTACACATTCCGAGATCGCATACGTAAAAAATCGTAAAAAACAAACATTCAGAGATTACATAACAGAACAAAAGTTTTCGACGGTTATAAACGAAAAATCACAATTTAACGGTTATTTTAACTCTGATTTTGATGATTTTTTACAAATACCCTCCTCGACCCTATAAGAATGTAATGAATAAATTTGATCTTTAATTTAAAGTATTTGCACCAGTGGATACCACAAAAACTTATTTTATACTTAACAGAAGTATAATATTAACTTTAAGTGTTTGCTTAATCTACCATTTTGACGCAATATGTATTCTACGAAACTTTTTTCAACGATTCAACCGTTAAACTTATTTGTAAACATTTCGAGATCGCATAGGTAAAAAATCGTAAAAAACAAACATTCAGATATTACGTAATGGAACAAAAGTTTTTTACGATTATAAACGAAAAATCACAATTTAACGGTTATTTTAACTCCGATTTTGATGATTTTTTACAAATACCCTCCTCGACCCTATAAGAATGTAATGAATAAATTTGATCTTTAATTTAAAGTATTTACACTAGTGGATACCACAAAAACTTATTTTATACTTAATTGAAGTATAATATTAACTTTAAGTGTTTGTTTAATCTACTATTTTGACGCAATATGCATTCTACGAAAGTTTTTTTAACGATCCAACCATTAAACCTATTTGTACATATTTCGAGATTGCATACGTAAAAAATCATAAAAAATCATAAAAAATCATAATTCGATATGAGGTCAGGGAGAAGAAATGTGTGAAGATGGTAATCTGCTGCTCTTTCCTGCTGTTTTCCTCTTTTGTCTTTTTCCTCAGTTTTTTTATAAATTTTAAATTTCCACACACCATCATTAATATGGAAAAGGAAATATATTTTTGCTATAGAACAAGATCCAACTAGATTTGAGGTCAGGTGTTATATGAAATGGGTTCAATGCTACCGTTGCGTTTCAGTTCAAAAATGTATTGATCTGTGAATAAAAAACTAAACTAACACATGATAATGCGTTAATAGACTAACTTCGACGATAGACACAATTCATGTAAGGTATACGTATATAATCGACATTGCTCAAAAATTTGCTACTAATTGTCATTCACTTTTTGTTTTCTTAGTGGAGGAAATAATTAGGTGCTTAAAGTGGAGAATAATAATATTTAACATTGTCTTTTCATACCAACATTAATAATATTTCTTATAGTGGTGAAAAGTGAAAAACAGCATGTATTTGATTTATTTATAGAAGTGTATTTTGACATTCCATTTTTTTTAGTGTTAATAACATGTTATTTCTCTTTGGCTTTTTAGTTAAAATGATCTCTGGAATTATTATAACTCTTTATTTTAATCTTTGAGATTTAAAACCGATAAAAGTGGTATTTGAGATTGTCTACGGTCAATTATTATGATATTTTAGTAAAAAAAAATATTTGTTAAATTAAAGAAACTACCAGTTCAAGAGGAAGAGTTGATTTTTAAAATGGTCTCTGAAATTATTATAACTCCTAATTTTAATCTTTGAGATTTAAAACCGATAAAAGTGGTATTTGAGATTGTCCATTGTCAATTATTTTGGTATTTTAGTAAAATATATTTTTTAAATCAAAGAAACTACCAGTTCAAGAGGAATAGTTGATTTGACAAAAATATCCTCAATTTAACAAATATTTATCATGGAACGGTGGGCAATCTTGGGACAATTTTTATCAATTTTAAATATCAAGGATGAAATGTGAAGTTATGTCAATCTTACAAAAGAATTTTGGATTAAAAAAAAAACCTTCCTCTTTTAATTCCAAAAATACAATGCAGGGGTATGACTGGTTCTCAAATTTTGATTTGTTTGTAATGCCTAATAACTCCAAATTTTCTTTTATTTGTTTTATGCCAAGTATACAAAATTTAATATAACAAAGAAGAGGAATTGAAATTACTTGACATGCGTATTCCAAAATTAAATTACATAATTAATGCATAGAAATCTCAAATTCTACTTTTTCATCTTAAAAGTATGAATTATGTAGTTTAATTTATTAGTGTAATACGCATAACAACTGATATAAGAAAAGACAAATGGATATTCTTCAACAAATAAATAGATAAAATAGTAAGACCATCTCCAATCCTTGGGCTAAAAGCTAAATTTTTTAGCCTGGAAAATTTAGCTTTTAGCCCAGAAACATATTTTCTGCTCCAACCCTTCTACCCTAAAATTTTAGCCTGGAATTATTAAAGAATGAAATTAGCCTAAATTTTTTTCTTAAATCAATTTTTTTTTTAAAATAAATATGTAGATTATTGTAAATTAATTTTATGAACATTTTAATCTAAAAAAATTTAAATTCCGATAAACATTTCGCATTTAGCCCGAAGGGAAAGCTGGGGGGTATTTGGCCCAGAAATAGCATTTGGCATTTAGCCTAAAATTTTAACATGGGTTGGAGAGTGTTTGGGGGGGGTAATTTAGCTTTTAGCCCAGGGTTGGAGATGGTCTAAAGGTTGCATAATATTTTGGTTGGGTTGCATGTGCAGCAAAAGAGAAGGGGACTCAAGGGAATGGACAGCATCGACAGTGATTCCGAGTAGCCATCTTTTTATTTTCATTCCCCTAAATTGTATAATTATTCAAAATTATTATAGAAAATAAAAACAAAAAGTGTGAGAAATTCAAAAATCAAATACCGTTACCCGGTCTGGGAGTAAGGGCCCACGCACTACCTTTTCGTAGTCCACCTGCCCTTGCTTTGTAGGATACAGTGTCCCTGCCGTCGATGTCGATGATGATGGTTTTTGTCATTCGGAGGATCAACGGCTGAGATGTTCTTCTTGAGCTCATGGGGTGGTTATGAGATTTTAGACCTCGGGGTAAGGGCATTTTGGTCAGCAGGGGTCACTGACTGGAAAAGTGAGAAGTGTACGTGCCTTTTTGACTCGGTCTGTCTGTGACTCAGTGGACGCCACCCAACTCGGCAATTAGATAAACTAGAATTTTCTTTTTCTTTCTCAAATGTGTTTTTTATTTTTATTTTTATTTAAATTTATTGGTTTCTGTCATCGATTAATTGCTGTTGGCTATAAATATCTTTTGGAGTTTTTTCATGCTAATCTCGTGTGCAAAGCTTGCTTCTGTATTTCTCCCTTCAATAACAACGCTGTTTCACTTTTCTTTTTGTTACTAATTTCTCCCTTCAATAACAATGATGTAGGGTGGGACGCTGTTGAAAGGTCTCGCTTGGCAGGTAAGGTCAGTTCATCCTTGCTTACCTTGAAACATTTGAGCTATATAGACCTAAGTTACAATTATTTCCAAGGGATTCACATTGTTTGCCAACTTCCAACTTTGACATATCTCAACTTCTCATTTGCATCACCAACTTGCAAGCCTCGAATTTCCCAAAAGCATTTTCAACCTTACTAACCTCCAAACACTTGACCTAAGTGGAAATTCTTTCACCGGTCATTTTCCTCCCCAACTTGCAAGCCTCGAATCTCTTAAACACCTTGATTTATCTGAAAATTACCTCAAAGGTAGAATTCCCAAACTCCTTGGAAACTTTTGCAATCTAAAGACCTTAAACCTCGCTGGCAACGAATTTGATGGGGGGTTTCAAGAGCTTTTGAGTGGTTTCTCAAATTGCACAAATAACAGATTAGAGTCACTAGATTTGTCTTACAATGAGTTTGCAACATAATTGTCTGACTCCTTAAGAGTTCCAACAAACTTGCAGCACCTTGACCTCCACGGCAACTTGTTTTGGGGCTCGTTTCCCACTTCTGTTGGAAACTTGTCATCCTTGAAAAGTCTAAACCTTTGGGACAACAACATGAACGGATCTATTCCCGAAAGTTTGGGCCAACTCTCTGAGCTAGTTGACCTGGCTTTGGTGGGAATTCATGGGAAGGCATTTTAACAGAAACTCATTTCATAAATCTCACAAGACTGCGATCTATTTTTCTGTCCACGGATGGAGCTATGCCGCTCATTTTCAATGTGAGTTATGAGTGGATTCCCCCCTTCCAGCTCCACTCAATTTACATTATAAATTGTAGTGTAGGTCCTGCATTTCCTGTATGGCTTCAATCTCAAACTGAGCTACTTTATGTCACCCTTCGTAGTACCAGAATCTCAGATTCTATACCAGAGGAATGGCTCTTCAACTTATCGTCCAAAGTTGAACGTTTGGATTTATCTCGCAACCAAATCCGCGGAAAGCTTCAATCCCAACTCAAATTTCCAAATTTATATTATATGGATTTGAGTCGTAATCAATTTGAAGGTCCACTTCCACATTTCTCTTCTTGTGCCACTTTTCTTTATCTCCAAAAAAATAGTTTTTCCGGGCCTATTCCTTCAAATTTCGGACAACTGATGCCCAAATTAAGAGAGATGAATCTTGCGGAGAATCACTTGAATGGTACAATTCCATCCTCTCTATGCGACATGCAGAACTTGACAACCCTGTCCCTAAGGAGCAATCAGTTTTACGGAGAATTCCCCGAAGCATGGAGTGTGTGGCATGATATATGGGTTGTTGATGTGGCTGACAATAACCTCTCTGGTAATATTCCGAGTTCAATGGGTGTCCCGAGTTCTCTAGTTATATTGAAGATGAACAACAACAATTTTGATGGCGAAATTCCTATCGAGTTGAAAAATGCAACTTACTTGAGGAGTATTGATCTTGGGGGCAACAAATTAACCGGAGGTGTTCCTTCATGGATCGGATCAAACTTCTCTGTGTTGTCTACTCTGCGTTTGCACTCCAACTTTTTAAGTGGACATATCCCGCGCCATCTTTGCAATCTTCCCTACCTTCACATCCTAGACCTTGGCCTTAACAATCTTTCAGGGGCTATTCCCAAGTGTTTGAAGAATTTGACTACTTTGACTTTCTCTCCATCCGATACTTATACACTGCCCGAAGGTCTTGAGGTGCAAACAACAGTCACGGCGAAAGGAAGCGAACTCGTTTATTACAAGATTGCTTTGAGATGGGTATATAGCATTGATCTTTCATCAAATAATTTAGAAGGCGAAATTCCTGAAGAAATGACCAGCCTTATTGCATTGGGGACCTTGAACTTGTCAGGAAATCAGTTAAGGGGGAACACTCCCTCAACGATTGGAAATTTGCGTTGGTTGGAAACTCTTGATCTTTCACACAATCGCCTTTCGGGACAAATTCCTCAAAGTTACTCCTCTTTATCGCTATTGGCTCATGTGAACTTGTCCTTCAACAACTTGGCTGGAAGAATTCCTTCGGGCAACCAACTCCAGACACTCGAGGACCCATCCATTTATGAAGGCAATCCATTACTCTGTGGGGTTCCTTTAACTAAGTGCCCGGGGGACGAAACACCGCCTTTTCCCTCTAGTGATGCTGGAAATAATAAAGATGAAGATGATAACATAAAGTTTTGGCTCTATGTCAGTATCACACTCGGCTTCATCACAGGCTTTTGGGGAGTTTGTGGCACATTAATCGTAAAGAAGTCATGGAGGTATGCCTATTTTCGTTTCTTTGATGATATGAAAGATAAAGTAGCATTAGCAATTGCATTGAAAGTGGCTAAAAAAATTTATTAAAAAAATGTACTGAACTCATATAGTATTCTTACTATGCGTGATGCTTTCTGTTGGTCTTTATAATGTATAATAAGCTACTAGGACACGATGTGTTCTGTTTTAAGTACTTCAGTTGTTTGCTTTGATGAAGATTTAACTTCAATTGTTTGTCGGAAGTTCGAAATTCATATTGATGCAGATAAAAATAATAATGTTCTAACAACAGTTGCATTCAAGGACTTAATTATCTATTCAAACAAAACAAAAATCATATCAGTTTACAAACCGCTGAAAAAGTTTACAAAGGAACATGTCTTTGATAACATATATCTAAATGAAATCTGAGCCACTCCCAAAACGCTGGAGATCTGGATAAGTGCCCCCCTCCCCCGACCTTGGCAGATTCCGATTAGGCTCAAAACCAGGAACATCTTTCGAGCGCCTCGTGGCAATGACGGATCCAGACTTCTAACATTGGGTGGTCCTAGTATTGGACTTGAAGTATCCAAAATCGGATCAGAACCATCCAAAATTGGAGTTAAACTATGAGAAATAATATTGACCAAACTAATCGATAATGTATTCACGTGTTAATATCGTTCCATACTTCTAATTTCTACACATATCAATTATTAAAACAAAAAATCATATCAGTTAATAAACATATATATATATATATATATATATATATATAACTAACAAATGATCAAATCAAATTGTAAAAAATCATAAATTACAATCTAATAAGCATAGCAATAACTATAATCTATTGGAAATTCAAAATTTTTCATCCATTATACATCTTTTTCAATAGCATCCTGTATTATTAATTTGGGCTAAGATTAGAAAGCTTATTTAAATTTAAAAATTAGGACATTATCAAAAATGAAAAACAGAAATTAAGAAATTCGTCGGTGGTGGACAGGAGAGGTGGAGCAGGTGGTGGATCCGTGGAGGGTTGGTAGGTTGTGGATGGAAGGAAAAAGGGAATCGGGTTTTCAAACTATAATCGACAACAGCTATGAATAATATCTACAGAAAAATTCACTCAAAAGGTGCAGCAATACAATCACATTCTCAAATGCAGTAATTAGACAATGCACATTTTACTTGAGTAATTCCTACAAACCACAAATTAATAGTCATCTCCACATAATTGAAAAACCAGGAGATAGGTGAATCGCTGCGATAAAATAAGCAGTTCAGTTTGCATCAATATTCTATTAAGTTGACATCAAGAATCAAAATAAAATCAAAATGGCGATTTCGGAAGTATATGTTAACAAAAGTTGCAATGGCTCCAGTTGGCTTATATGTTTGAGTCTCAGTGAGGATTTTGACGATTTAGAAGATGCACCTCAGATTGATTGATGGGACAAAGTCTCTTACATTAACCAGCATGTTGATTATAAAAAAAAAACTTTATTGTTTTTCTTTTGGTTATAAAAAAAAACATGAAAAAGATAAAGCTGATCATTCCAATTGTAATTGGGATAAAATATTGTTCACTTTTTTTTTTCCAAAGCTTTTCAATAAAGAAGAGACTGTTTGTATGGTTAGAGGTTTTTCATGCCAGCAAACCTTCTCCGATATTCCCAAAGGTCAAACAGTAGTAAAAATGCAATGAAGATGGAGACTACCCCAGTTTGTCTCTGATTAAATGCACGTAGATACTGAATTTTGTCAAGTTTTTACCAGATTGACTACAGCAGATGATACTTAGTATCAATGTCTTATAATATGTGTTATGTAAATGCTTTTTGTAAACATCTTTTCCCTACATTGTTTAGTATAAGAACTCAACTGAATTAGCTATTTCGAAAGAGAGAATGTCAATCATGTGGTTTATTATTTCGTTGAGATTGATGGTGTCTGTTGGATTTAGGAAGATGAGATCAAACACCGTTCTGATTTTATGACAGATTTTCATGTTAAGGTCCAATCTTTTAAGTTTTGACCGACTTCATCTATCTTGCATTTCAGAGGGTGGTCTATATATTTTCTAAGTAGATTCAGTGCTATAGTTTAATGATGCAACTGCAACTAAAGAGACAACATCTGCAGATATGATTTTGCAAAATCATAAAACTCTTGAGAGTTTGAACCGTACTCGAAAGTTTATATGAGTTGAAGAAGGACCGTACTTAAGTCGGCAAGATCATAAGCTCCTGCAGCTTCTCCTCCATATCAGAACCACCTGCAGTCCAACTAACAAAGATTCAATGCCAAATCAAAGAAAATCAGTGATAATTTAAACAAAAACCCCTAATTATTGTTGTAGAGAGAATTCATATCAAGATAAACCACATTATTTGATTTGAATTGAATCCAAAAGCAGCGAAAAGAAAACGAACAGAGCAAAAAGACAAACCATAGAAACGAACTGACCAAAATTAAACTCAGCATATCTCTCTCTCTCTCCTTCTCTCAGTGCAGCCCATACCGCTGCTTGCTTTGCTGCACCTCTGTCTGTCTGCAAGATTTCTCCTTCTTTCCCTCTCTCTTCTTCTCTATCCGCAGGCCGTACCCTTGTCTGCAACAACACTTCCTCAATCCCATCGAACGAAGCAGACGGTATCCCCAAATCCCAAACATACAATGACAAAACTACCCCCACAATTTTCTCCCCTGTCCGTCCGATCTGAAATCTAAACGGGTACCAGAGTAACTTTGCTTGTTTCAATACTGGGCCGTTTTGGTCCAGGCCTTTAGGCCTCTGTCTGGGCCTTTTGAATGCAAGCCGAACCTGGCAAATCCGTAACAAAGCAAAGTTTTTTGTAGAAAGGCAATTTGGTAAATAAATCAAAATCAGGGTAGTTTTACTGTAGGTTATGAAAAGTGTCAAAATTTCCTCCTCAACTTTAGACTATAGTAACTAGCAAAGGATGCACATGTGATGGTACGAGATTGAAAATTCTATTACAGTACTATTTACATACAAAAAATAATACTTGAATGTGTGTACAACTAACTGTACATACGATTTACATACAAAAGGTTAGGCGGATATATATTTACTAGATATGCTAGATGGTATACTAAGAGATGTTCATTCTTCTCATATTGGGTTGTTGAGGTGCCTCATCTTCTTGTCTATGTTACCTTCTCTACCGTGTTGTTCAAACATAAATATGTCATGTTCATGAAACTTACGATCGAGAGCCTAATGCAAGATTCCCTGATTACAAACTCAATCATAATACAATGAATGAAATTATGTACACAGTATTACAAACATAATTTCAATCTTCTACTCATTCGACGAAGCATGGAAACGTACAAACAAGTGCAACATATAACCAAAATCATGCACCTTTAACTTCAGGTGCTTGTATCATTTGTAGTTGTCATCATTGTAGTCATTTTACTAACATAATTATCATCACCTCAAGTAATTATGTTTATCAAATTGCCCTTTTCGAGGCCACTAATTTTTCCACAAAAGTTTTAGATATCTCATTTCCAACCATACATCCAAATAAAACAAAAAGTAAAACTCCACAGTACCAACACACAATCAAAACTCGAACTCGAAAACTCATATCCAAATTAATATCAAATGATAGCATTTACTCAATTTTAAGAAGTTGAAGTGAGAAAGGTTAAAATAAAACTAATCTGAGTTCGAGATCTAAATACATGAACAACACCAGTAAAGTTGCATTCTTCTTTTTCAAGTAAATGGTGTCACATATCGTGTGTTAAGTGTACATTTTGACAAGGATAATGGGATAAGACCGAGTATGCTTTTCCAAGTGGATTACGACAAATATTGCATATACTAAGCTTACGCATGTACGGTATCAGCGTAAACCTTGTATTTCTTTATGCATCACCCCCCTTGCAAAAAATATGTAACTACGGCAATCTTTGTGTCAATTCAATGTTTTTTGTTAGCCCCATATGTAATGGAACCTAGTCATGAAGGAAAGTTATAACTTCAACATGCCTACTAACCAAATGAGACCCATGCCTATTCGTCATTGACATGTATAAACATACTATAAAACCCCAACTAAGATATAGCAACTACATATTGATTAACAAATAGCAAGAAATCAAATCTACATATTGTTATAACTCTACGTGACGGTAAACACGATACATGCAATTCATTCCTCCAGTGGCAGAGCCACATAGAGATGAGGTTGGCTAAGGCTCATCCTGGAATCGCAATCTCATACATGTTGTTCACAAATATAACAATGATGAGTATGTGGTGTAATGGTGAAGATGTAACAATCCGTCCCAAATTTTTACTATTTTTATAATATTAAAACATGAAGTTGCGAAAATGCCCTTCGAAACAAAACGTTGACTTTTGTTGATCACCTTGTCATGTCATGTGAGATTCATTTTTTTGGCGTATACTTGTAGTACTCGTCGCTACGAATGCGTGGACGCAAGCGGAATTGAATTTGGAGCTAGAATAGAGATTTTACGAAATTCAGAATGATTGGGGCATTTCGGTAATTTTACGTTTCACGGGATATTTTTCCGTTTCGTCTTTTCTTGCTTTGTTTGGTGTGCCAATGGGGCCCACCCCTGTTTTGTTGTCTCTCGGCCCACTCTCTTTCTTTTCTCCCTTTTTCCTTCTTCTTTTTCTTCTCCCTGTGGGCTTCTCTCTCTAGAACCTTCTCTTTGCTTTTCTCTCCCTTTCATCTCTGCACTCTTCTCTCCTATCCGAGGCACGGACGGACACACAAACAACATAAACAATGATGGCAACACCTCCACCACGGCTCACGCTGGCAAACCACTATCACCATTATCTGAATATCGTCGTCTTGACCCTAGGCCAAGGCCTTAGATCTTCGGTAATGGCAGAGATCATTGTACATCGTCTTCCCTGATGAACCTACGGTGAGTTCTCGCTATTCCCGACGTATGTAAGTGCCTAGAACCCTTTAGATTGTGTTTTAAGGTTATATTATGGTAGTTTTTAAGTTATACTCACATGTTGGACGTAGAAACAGCTCGGAGGAACCTTCCCAAGTTTTTCGACGAATGAACCTACTTTTGAAGGTGTTTTCCTGCCAACTCCAGTCATCACTCGACCTCTTTTTGGTACGAATCTCCTCACTCCCAGCTTCATTTTCATAGGTAACACATCATTTTTGGTAGAGAAATGAGCTTGAATGGAGCTCTGGAAAAATAGCCTAGAATTCGGCCAATTTTAGGCCTCGCGAGGAAGGCAAGTACACCAATACTCGCGGACGCGTGGGGCAGCTCGTGGAGCACACGTGGCTCCACCGAAGGTACTGTGCTCACCGGCATCCATGGCAGCGCTGACGACTTTTGAGGCCAATTTTCCACCTACCCATCTCGGCGGGTGGTGACCCGGGCCGCCACACATTGGCGTCGCATGCGGCGGTCCGTGGGGGAACCCGATGTCCCTCCTTAGGTTTTTCAACGTGCCGAATTCGAATCCGCCATCCGTTTTCTCAAATTCGATTATTTTAGTAGAGTTTTAATAAATGGTCCCTATTTGTGTTTAGGTGCGTTGGTTGGAAGCGATCTCATCCTCCCTAGTTCGATCGACTCTCCGGTAGCGGAATATTTGTGAGTGGACCTTTTCTCAAAAAGCATGTTTTTATAAAATATTAGGTTTGCATGCATTTCATATTTCATGAATTGAATATGTTTTATATTATGTTTTACAAATTTCTATATTTATGGTTTACAGAGAACATATATTTTGTTTAAATTGTTTTTACGAAATATTTATGGTTTATAAAAAGGCATGTTTATAGAAATTACGTTTATGGAATTTCTTATGATTTCGGATGATGAGGTTTTAGTATTCTACACCATAGTTTGAAATATTGATAATATCGACAAAATATCGAGGATATTTCGGTTTTTTCGAATCACAGATCTTTCGGAACATATCCATGTACATATCGTACAAATATCGACAATATTGACGATAATATCAGAAAATATCGATGTCGATAATTTCACTCACACTTCAGCAATATTTTGTCAAAATATTAGTGTAATATCGCTAAAATATCAAAAATATCGATGTAAATGAAGGAAAGAAAAGGAAAAAAAAAAGAAAAAAAAGGGAAAAAAGGGAAGAAAAAAAACACAAAGGGGATTTGAACCCCTCCCATTTTAATCCTCCAACACCTTAACCACGATATATCACGTATGTTTTAGTGATAAGATGCTAAAATATTTATATTTATATGAGTGACATGTTAACAATTACATGCAAAACTATTTTGGGGATTTATCATTTGATGAATACTCTTCACAATAAACTTACTCTACACATAGAGATGATGAAGATAATGAAAATTTTGAACCTCATAGGAACTTCATGTGGTACTAAATCACTCATGTATCTTACCATGCAATGTATAAAGTGTAAAATATTGTAGTAAATCATTATATATAAATGATTATGGTGTGTTAATCTTTTTTTCATTAATTACTACATATTTTCTACACTCACAGTGTTTGCCAGCTCGCTGTATAATCAACTTAAATCAGTTAAATCCATCATGTAATGCATTTCCTTCTAATTTTTTTTGATAAACTAATGGATAATTGACTAAATAAATATTCTCCAAAGTTTCAATAAAAATTTCCAAGTTTTTCTTACAATTTCCGTGGTTTTTATTCAATTTTTATCGATATCGATAATATCTCGATATTTCCATCGAAATTTCCATGTTTTTGGACTACCGATATTTCCGATACCATCGATATTTTATACCATGCTCATGACTTATAGTGTTTTGTTTCGGGTTCTAGACGCTGGATCGGTCCCACGCAAAAAACAAACTACCCGGAAACACCTGCGAAAATGTTGGAAAGAAATCATAATCCCTTGAGATCAAATTCTTCTATTGGAAAGGGATCATTTTCAGATCCCTTCCTTTTAATCCATTAAGTTCAGGGATTCAAACCGTTGAAATGAGATCAAACGGTTAAATTTATTATAACTTTTAAAATAGGCCCAAGCATGGAACCTATCCATTTTTACGAAGTTGAAGCTTGCTAGGAAATCGATGAGGTCGAAAATTCCAGGTTCTCGGCCCATTCTACAAGTTAGCAAAGTCCTCTCAGGTTGACTAGACTTGTGTCTAATTCTCTTTTCCACACCATTTTTCACGAATGAATTGTTGAGATTTGACCAAACGAAATTTAGTTAAATCTTAACCTTTGCTTTTCGTGTTTTGGTGTGCAATAAAAGCATCACTCACTTGGAAACGTTTTTAAAATGATTGAAAAACAATTTTGGAGAAAATGATTTTAAGTTCCAAAAACACTTCTAATTCTCTTTCCTGCACCATTTTTCAGAAATTAATTGTTGAGATTTGACCAAACGAAATTTAGTTAAATCTCAACCTTTGCTTTTCGTGTTTTGGTGTGCAGTAAAAGCATCACTCATTTGGAAACGCTTCTAAAATGATTGAAAAACACTTCTAGAGAAAATGATTTTAAGTTCCAAAAGCACTTAAAGTACTTCATGAAAAAAACACTAGTTATGTACTTCTGATAGAAAGCACTTGAAATATTTTTTCAAAATTCACTTTGCATTTTTATTAAGAATTAGTTTTAAAAATACTTTCATCAAAAGTCTGCACATTTTTTTTAGTATGCTCTAATTCTCTTCCACACAATTTTTACTCATGGCGTGTAAGACATACTTCTAGTAAGAAGCTGAAGCTTTAGGAAATCGATGGGATCAAAAATTCCAAGTCCTCAGCCCATTCTACAAGTTAGCAAATTCCACTTCG